CTTTTTTTTTTTTTTATGAAGGTGTTATTGCTTTGACTTTTTTGTTTTCTTGCCAGACAAAGGAAAACAACTGCAATGATGGCTATGGCTAAGAAAAAGATGTTGTTGAAAGGATGATTTTAAAAAAACAGGTGATAACTAGTGTTTCTGAAAGATGTAAAATAAATCTTAATTACAAGATTTTCCAAGTTATTATAATTTAGAGGTTGTCAGAGAGGGAGGCATGTGCTTGGAATCCAGGTTCAGAAACTTAGGCCATGTAAGTTTGCCACGCCACTGTTTTAATGAAAATAGTACATACACCAATTAGTCATCATATGGTATACATTGATGACCGATCCTTGCAATAATGTGTTAACATCTGAGTTTTCTCCACTGCAACAGTATTTTCATTTATCCTTGGCAAATTGTTACAATTTAAGGGGTTTTTTTTCAGCCAGTTTTAAAATTAACCTTAAAAATTGCAGTGCTACAGACTGGGAAATTCAGCCAAGAGAGAGAATATAAAGCAATATTTTGTGTCATTCTTATGACTCCAAAAATAGCTGCTAGAATTTTTTTTTAGGAAATATGCAACATCTGGAATATTTCTCTGTAATTGTATGCAGCTACTAAAAACCTGCTTTTGAAGAACCTCTTCAGCACAATTTTGTCTAAGCTGTTTTCTCGAATCCTTCCTAAGGTATTTACTTTTTAAAAAGTATACCTATTTTCATATTTTGACACAATTTTTACCAGTACAAGGGCTTGGTAGGCAAATAGCAGGCAATATAACTGATTTATAGCCTTGTGCCTTGTGCAAGACTGCAAGGACAGTATGCTAGTGGAACAGAAAACTCACAATGTATTGATTCAGTCCTCTCTGCATTGCTCCTTCTGCCTCTTTTGACTGTAAAAAAAATTATTCCCTTCAGTGTTCATACTTCATGGCAATTCAGAGGTCAGGCTCAGGTGACAAGCTTAGACAGCTTGGTCACTTGTTGCTTGTTAATATGGTATTTTCTGTCTTCAAATGGTGTCCCCCCACCAGCATCCTCTTTTCTGGGATAATGGAAGTGATGTACTTAGCTAAGTACAAAAACATCCAGGCTCCAAAATGCATCAGTCATGTAGTCTTAAAAATGCTGGAGTTGTTTTAGAAATGTAAGTGGGAACGCTCACGAAGAACTTGCACTGAGGCAGTCTCTGAGCGCAATTGTTTTTCGCAGAGAAATTTTCAAACTGGAATTTGTTATTTAAAATGCCATTTTTTTTTTTTTTTGGCTTTTGCATTTTCTGAAATTGTGATGTAATGACAAGTAAGGAGACAGAGCCAATAAATGAAAATGGTGAATTTTGAGGAGCATATATGCAACATATGTATTTCTTATTGTTGAATTGCCTGAAATATGAGATTTGTCACAGAACTTACATGGTTTATTATATAGGGATGCTAAGATATCTGTTTGAAGAAGGGAAGAGTTTGCTAAATATATAACACATTTCTGATTTCTGGCAAAAAAAAGATTATTATCTGCAGTTGTCAATGAAGTCTATAACTTCTGTTTTTGCCATATTTCATGAAATCAGCCTCTTAAAATTTGTGACACGAAGCACAGATCCAAATATATTTAGTGCAATAGTTAGCAGAAGCTAATGTGCTCTGTCAGAAAACTGAATCTCTTGATTTTTGTGTGTGAAGTGATTATGGTGAGAGGGAATATGTTCAGAGTACCCAGATGCAGAAAGTGGAAACATCAGATCAAAATGATAGCATTATTTCTCTAAAGAATTATTATGAAAATATTTGTGAGAGGCCACTTCACAGCCAAAACATACGCTTAACTTCAATAAATACTAGTTTTCAAGCTTATTAAGATCCATCTAATCATCCTGTTTTAAGATGGCCCTTCTGATTACAACAGTAATTTGTTCCTGGTGTTGCTCTCAAGTGTTGTAGACCAGCTTTGCAGAAACGGCTCCCAGACAAGTACTGGGATCCTTTTTGTGTCACTGAAGCCTGCTGTTGGTTTGTTTCGGGTATTTTTACAGAAGCTTTCAGATCTTAAATACAGTGAATATGAAAAAAAAAAAAAAGTAAAAAGTATAGAATATGCCAGAGCAAGATACTGAAAAACTAAAGGGAGTAGCATGAGTTTAGCGCTTCTAAATTTGATTCCCATGTATCAGTTTTTCATATGTCTTCATGAGAAAAGAAAATATTTTTTCAAATAAGGAAGAAACTTTATTTTTCTTTTTCAGGACATAATTTTCTTAATATTGCATTTCATGAATCAAATCCTCAGTTTAGCAGTTACTAGAAAATAATTGCAATCCAAATGAAGGCGTAAGATTATATCAAATAATGCAAGGAATGGGCACACAGCTTGCACACAAAACAGCATCAAGATGCAGCAACAAAAAAGTATCGATATAGAGCAATCAATGCTGTAGACAATATCTTTTAAATCTATCATGCTGCCTTTTGCCCTTTATATTAAGTCAAAGGGAAAGGGCTATAATGAATGAGCATGTCTTTATTCTCGTCGGCAACAGTTCTGTAGGAAACCTGGCAATATGACATTTAACGTGATTAATTCTGGGTTGTAGCTCCAGTTTATTTTTTCCCATGTACATGCATAAAGAGTTATTATTAATTTAAAAAAAACAAACCAAATATAAACTGAGACTCTTCCTAAGATTTATAATGCAGGATAGACTCAAAAATAAAAGGTTAATCGTGTATTTTCAATAATATATGCCTTATGTTTTCACATTTATCTTCTTTCTCCCTTTTACAACATGGTTTACCAAAGTGGAAGTGCTTAGGATTGTGAATGCAAGGCTGGTTAGTTTATATCTAGCTTATTAAAAATTTCCTACATTAAAAATAACATAACTGAAAGAAACCTCTAGATATCAGAACATACCATGAAGTACGCTGTGTAAAACTTCTTTGATATTTTTTCTTCCTTCTTATCAGAAGGGGGCACTAGTGATCCATTATAAATAGGCAGTGTGACATTGCTTTTGTTGTGCCATATTTAATAATAATAATAATAATGATAATATAATTTCCCCATTTAATATTGAGGGCATTTGTGTGCATAATTAAGAGTATAAATATATAATGGTAATTTGAAAAGTTAAATAATTAATAGATTGTATGTAAATATTATCTGTTGTCTCTCATTGTCTTTTTATATTATTATTGAAATACTATTCTTACAGTTCGCTTATTCTCTGAAACGATGAACTAATGCTGATTATTTAATACCTAATTTTGGTGATTTCTAATGTAAAGGAGGTGAATTCTAATTGTAAGGGATCTTGATGATGTCAGTTAAATATATTCCTGGGAAAGGCAGAAATTTAGATCCCACTGTTATAAAAGCCATTTATGTATGTTGAGATATAAATTACCTTATAGTTATTATTGCAAACAAAAAGTGTTAAATATTCATATAATAATGTTTGTTTTGTTTCATATTAAACTAAATAGATGGAAAAAAATTTTTTATCATGATGTTTACTTACTTTTTTTGGTCAGCTTATCTGATCATGAACATTTTAACAGATTTGTTAGTATTACTTTGGCCTATAAACTGGGATCAAGATGAGGTGGTTTTGCCATTTCATAGAATCAACTTTGGTATGTGAGCTATGTGAGCAAGAAAAAGCGATGAACAATAATACGGTTTCTATTCTTTGTCCTCATTTTCTTGCTGTCTATAGGATAAAAACTGGCAGAGTGCATAAAACTGCAAAAGATGTAAGTCAGTAACAGCAGGAAAACCAGCTGAATTTTTTGATTTGGAGGTTGATGAGTGATACTACATTGTAATAAAATACCTACTTATTAGATATGTAGATGGCAGCATTTGTGAAATAGTATCTACCCACAGATAATTAGATGCTCTTTTGAAATGTCCACTATTATTTTCATGTATAGAAATGAGGGTCAATGGGGAGCTGAATTTAGTATTCACTAAATTGATTCGAGTTCCACAGATGAAAAATACAGTATCTGGGTTTTATGACATTAAAATAGGTGAAAATATGAACTTTCCACAATACAAAATGTTATTTAGGCACAAAATAGATTTCATTAAAATTATTTGCAAGTTATAAGCCAGTTGTTGTGTCCATTTACTCAAGTGTAAATCCAGAATGTTCTTTGTTCAAAGTGCAATTAAATCCTAAAATGGCAGTGAGAAGAAAGGTTCTTTGTACCTTAAAGGCAACTTCAAGGTATATATTCATGAGTATAGATAAGTGTTTTATGTGTGCATATAACCAGGCATTTTTCAAACAAAAGTCCACTTTTTCATGCAGGAAACTATAGTCATTCTAGATCAGCCATTTAATCCAAGCAAGCACATACCTGACCTCGTACCCTTGAATCTTAGGTTCTTTTATTTCAATTTTCCTAACACCAGTTGTCCTTTCCAGATAATTATCTATGAAATTTACTGTCAGGATAACTGGAAACCCATTGTTTTCTAATGAGGGAAGCTGGCTAAAGATCTCCTGTCTATCGTGCCATTCTTTAGTGAAATCTATTTTTTTTTTTTTTTTTAATGACAAAAGCTTAGATATTTCATGGGGAGTTTTCAAAAAACGAACCAAGGCAAGCTACCAGTCTGGCCTGGATGCAGACAGGAGGTGTCTGTTTTGCATGATCTCCAGCCACTGAATTGACTGTATTTTTATCCTCCTTAGTTATAATATATTGATAGTGGTAGCAGTGTAGCTACAGGAATGTGGAGCTTGGCATAGGCTTCAGAATGTTTCTGAGAAGCTGAATAAATAGGTGTATAGATTAGCACCTCATGAATTATCTAGTCTAGCCCCCTGGTACTGCCTATACTGAGTTCCAGGTCTTTTTGCTTTTGCTGCCATCAATACCTGAATTTGAAGCTTTATGTTATAATCTGAAACTAGCTTGAGACCCTGCAAACTGTCTCAGCTTGTTTCAGTAATCACCAATTTTGAGGCTTATTTGGTATTAGTTCAAATGTCACCATTCTTGACTGTTTTTCTGTTGGGTCATTTCAGCCGAGATATTTATTACTCAGTACAGTGGTAAATATTAGGACTGTATTGGAATTGACTTCTTAATGAGTGCAACTTGACCTTCAAACAGAGAAACCCACAGTTTTGTTACTTACCTAAACTCCGTCACTTGTGAAGTCAAAGTGAGCCATTTTTCATGAGAGGTTGTTCCTCTTACATTCCTTATTAGTCCCTAGTTTTACTTCATTTAATTATCCCTGAATGAACTCATTTGTATCTATTAATGCACAAAGTCAAAACTACTTAGGTATATAAAACAATAAAAAATGTGTTGCCTATTAT